GGGTGAGAGAGGTAGGGGGTGAAGATTGCTTTTATTTTTTAATCAGTAAACATCCCTTATCTACCTACTGTATAATGTCTGTGCTTGGCACCGGGGAATTGAAGATAAATGACAGGACCTCTTTTCCCCAGGACTTCATATTGATAAAGAATTATTACTCAGAATGACAGGTGCTATAATGTATTATATATATAATATGAGATAGGCAGAGGACAGCAGGGACAAAGGGAGGGTTAGTCAGGCCTTACCAATCCCCTGTTTAAACTCCCCTGTAGCATGCCACTGCACTTGAAATAAAATCCACACCTTTGACCATGCCTCAGCAGACCCTGCCTGACTCAGCCGCCCCTTCCCATCGTCCCTCCCTCCTCACCGCCCACCATACAGTCCCTTACTCACTCCACACCTGCCCACTAATATTATTTCTGTCCTTGAACACAGCAAGTCCAGATCTTTACCAGGCTTCCTCTTTCTTGACCATTCAGACCTCAGCTCAAATATCTCATCCTCTGGCCAGTATCTACATAACACACTCTCCTCAGTCACTTTCTATGCCATGGCCCTGTTGTGTTTTCACCATGAAATGTCTCACTGTGAAGCTACCTTGTTTACTTATGTTCATCATTATTGTCAGCCCCTCTTCTTTCCCTGTGCCCTCCCCCATGTGCTGGTATGGATGGGGGCTTCCTGCGGGTGAGGAGCCTTATCTGGTGACCTCACTGCCCTGCCCCAGTGCCTAGGATGTTGCCTGGCAACTGGCACCCGATAGATGCTTGTTAAGTATGAACTTGCCCTGGGGAAGACACGAAAGACTCACCAAAGAAAAGTTATAGGTAAAAAAAAAACATACCCTAAGAATGGGGAAGGCAGTTAGGGCCAGCTCCAGGACTTTGGCTGTTAGAACGCAGGGTGCAGGGTGAAGCGTGGAGATGAGGTTGGAGGGGTGAAGTGGCCCAGGGGCTTGGTTTGCCAGGAATAGGACTCAAGAGTCCAGACCTTAGAGCGAGAGAGCAGACCAGGGCCATCCCTCCCCAGATGCACAGCCTGGGGCAATCACCTCACCTCCCTGTGCCTCTGTTTCCTCATTTTCAAAAGAGCTGATAATGACATCAGTGGCCAGTGTGAGGATTGCATGAGCTGTTATGTGGGAAATACCTATCAGTGCCTGGCACATAGTTAGCGAAGCGTTGGTACTATGCACTAGAGGGGAATCACTGAGGAAGCTGAGGAGTAGAATGTCGAGATCCGTATTTGTGTTTTAGATCATCAGGCTGGCCGTGGGGAGAGGGCTGAGGAGTCAGAGTCAAGGAAACAACTGTGTAGACAAGACAGGGCAGTGGTGGTGAGGATGATCCAAGAGTTATTAAGACAAAGAACACAGACATCAGTTTGGGGAAGGAAATGAGGAAAAGAGATGCCCCAATGGGAGGCTGACGGTGCTGTTTCATACAGAAATACAGGAAGGGGTGAGGTTTGAGAGCTGGGCGGGAGGGAGGGTAAAGAGGTGTGATTTCTTCAGCTGTGGCTGGTTGAGCCCAGCAAGAAAACCCCCACATCTTCCTGGGTTGCAGTAGGATGCTAACATACTTAGCACCATATTTGTAAGTACTTAATAAATGTTAGTGCTTAATATTTAGTGTTTATAATTTCTGCTTTTGAAGCAGATACTGTGAGAAACAACTTTGTCTACATCTGAGTTTTTCTTTTTAGACTTCTCTAAGAATTACTGTGGCAAGAGGTAGGTAACCTTTTGAAGACTTTAATTCATCTTACCAAATTGCTTTTCAAAAAGTTGTACCAATATATATTCATTCCCACAATAACCCGACATTTTTAAAAAACAGCCTCAATGTTTTTTTTTTTTTTAATAAATACCACTGCCAAAGTTGCCAGGGTATGGAGAACAGCCCTCTCGTGTGCTGGTGGTGGACCTGACCATCAACTTTAGCTCTTCCCTTACAAGTTGCCAGTTGCCTTTGTCCTAGGGAAACCTTGAGAGTCAATGTCTGTTACTCATTAACAAGTTGCAATACCACAACCCAAACCGTACTCTTGAAACCATGATGGTCAGTGAAATATACTGTATGCATAAATACTCCCTTGAGGTTTGGGGATAGGAGTGTAAGGAGAATGTACTTAGTGAACAGAAAGCTCCATTGTACCAAAACTACATTATTTTAGCAGTATTTTCCCCTAGAGAACTTTCTTTACCATGATTTAGTGTATGGGCATGCATGAAAATGCCGTTTCCTTCGAATCAATAAGTCATCTATGAGAGGGCATTATTCACTGGTCAGATATGATCTTAACTCAGAATAAGCTGAAATTTCTTTTTAATACATATGTCAATAGATTTTCCTCAAACTAAAAGAGAAAGAGCCATTTTCACTGAAGACAGAGTTTTGGTCAGTTCCACGTATGGTTATCATGAATTCTTGGCCATTTGGGTGCTTTATATGGTTTTGTTATTGTATTTTTAATACTGACTACACACAACTGAGACATGTCAGGGTAGCAGTACCCAGGGAAATCAGTGATATGTTGCCTTCTCTCTGGATGAATGCTTGCTTTGTGTTTATTAGAATTAGATTTGTACATTAAGGAACCAATGTACCTTTAATGAAGTTTTTACGTTCTTTTCTTGAAGGTCTATATAAAGGAAACTTGGGGACACTAAGAATAGTAATATAAGAATACAAATTCAGAATAGAAGATAATAATATAAGAATAGAATATAAGAATCGAAATCCATGTGTGTGTTGAATTGAGTATATTTTTCTATTTTCCATAATCCACTGGAGGCCACTTAACCAGGTGGTCCTCAGCACCAACACTTGCCCCTTCTGTTCAGAGCATTAAGCATCCATCTGAGTTGCAAGGGAGAGTCTCACTTTTGGAAGACTTTCTCACACCAAGTCCACAGTCATTGTTTTCAGGAGTTAATGAGAGGAGCTCACAGTTTTTCCAAAGAGGCTGGGTATAATTTGTATGAGTGGGACTGATGTCAAGTAGGGAAGCAATAGGATTGTTCTTCTCTGGTAAACCATGATTGTTTCCTTCTATTGTCAGTCAGGGGTGGATCCATCAAAGAATGAGGGAAACATGATACTTCTGCTTGAAGGTAGACTTGGCAGCTCCACAATGGCCTCCTTCACTACTGGGACTGTCACAAAAGCTTGAAGGAAACTGCTGTGGTTGTGGTGGGGAGTTGAGTAGAATATAATACATCCCAGTCCCAGAGAGTCAATCAGATGTCCCTGGTCCTCCTGGAGCTGTCAGCTATTACATTTAAGAGCTCACTTCCCTAGCCTGAGCAAGAGTGAGACCCCATCTCTATCCAAAATAGAAAAATCGGCCAGGTGTTGTGGCACATGCCTGTAGTCGCAGCTATTTGGGAGGCTGAGACAGGAGGATCGCTTGAGTCCAGGAGTTTGAGGTTGCAGTGCGCTATGATGATGCCACTGCACTCTAGCCTAGGCAATAGAGTGAGACTCTGTCTAGGAGGGGAAAAAAAAAGGTTCACTTTCCAACCATTTTGTCCATTCTTAAGAGAGGCTCTTCCAAACACAATGAGTACAGTTTACACACGTTGCTGAGCCCATTAACCACAGGTATCTTGAAATCATATGGTTCCTGACCGTCTCGTTGTTTTTCTTTATATACTTTGTGTCTATTTCTATACACTGTGCACCGATTGTGCTATAAAGCTATCTTGTGATAAGAAGAATCGAGAGAGGTTGAAACCAAATCTATCTCTATAGCTACACGTTTCTCCAGAAATAGGTAAAGAGACCTACCTATCTTTTTAAAACTTAGCCATGTTATCCAGTTCCACCTCTAATGGTAATTCATAAAATCATAGAATTTTAGATCCAGGGTATACAGGTGACATGAATACAGTTCTCCCTCGTTATCTGTGGGCATTTCGTTCTATTACTGCAGCCGATACTAAAATCTGTGAATGCTCAAGTCCCTTATATAAAATGTCATAGTATTTGCATACAACCTATGCACAACCTTCCATATATTTTAAATCATCTCTAGATTACTTATAATACCTAATATAAATGCTATGTAAATAGTTGTTATATTTTTTTTTACTGGTATTATTTTTTATTGCATTTTCCCCCAAATATTTTCACCCATGGTTGGTCTAATCCCTGGATGTGAAACCCACAATATGCCTGACTGTATGAGACCAACTGTATTTGTCAGAACTCTGGCCTCTAAGAAAAAAGTGTTTCCCGGTCAAACAAATTAGGGAAACGGTGCATCCCTTTATCTTCTTCCCCTTGAATATCGACAGTGAACAGTCAGTTGTAACCCAGCATTTTCCATACTTATTTAACCACAAGAGTCTCTTTACTCTCTGTCATACCGGTTAACATCCTGCATGTAGGAAATTAATCCAGTCTCACTGTGGAGGTTCAGAGAATTAAGCCATTTGCCCAGTGTAACTGGGTCAGTAATGCCATAGGCAGGGCGGGAACCCATCCATAGTCGAGAGCCTCCCTCAGAATGCCTGCATACTTGTAGCCACTTGTAGATTATTTTACCTTGAAATTTATTGAAAGAGTTGTTTCTGAAGTATCTAGGATCCTAGTTTAATATGGAGAGATTTCTCTGTTGGCAGATGGAAAATGTGCCAATTGGCCCTTTCAGTTTAGTAGTGCTCTTTATTCGTATGCATCAGAAACAGAACCTGAATGGCATGCACGGTGGAGAACAAAACATTCGTGAGGCTCTCAGTCCGAGGGGTGGGGAAGGGAGAAAGCCAATAAGCAATTAAACAAGTAGATATGTAATTATAAATTATGATGCGTGCTATGAAGAAAATGAGCTATGTGCATGCTGTCAGACTGAGTTTAAATTTGCAGTCACTTTTTAATTGACCCAGATTCAAAAGGGATCAATAGCGGCCGTTTTTATGGCTATCTTGCTAGCTCCTGCTCACTACAGTATGAACTGGGTAACAGCCTCTCCTCTTCTTGTTTTCGCAGCCCAGTGGAGCAAAATGAGAGCGCAGTGAGCCGGGCCCAGCCTCTCTCCCAGCCGTCCCCGACGCCCACCATGAACCACTTGGAGGGGTCCGCGGAGGTGGAGGTGACCGACGAGGCGGCAGGTGGGGAGGTGAACGAGTCGGTGGAGGCCGACCTGGAGCATCCAGAGGTGGAGGAGGAGCAGCAGCAGCCGCAGCCACCGCAGCAGCACTATGCGGGCCGCCACCAGCGCGGGCGCGCCGGCGAGGACCTCCGCGCCCCGCTCGGGCAGGAGGAGGAGGAGCGCGGGGAGTGCCTGGCGCGCTCGGCCAGCACGGAGAGCGGCTTCCACAACCACACGGACACGGCCGAGGGCGACGTGATCGCCGCGGCCCGCGACGGCTACGACGCGGAGCGCGCACAGGACGCCGAGGACGAGAGCGCCTACGCCGTGCAGTACCGGCCCGAGGCCGAGGAGTACACGGAGCAGGCGGAGGCCGAGCACGCCGAGGCCACGCACCGCCGCGCGCTGCCCAACCACCTGCACTTCCACTCGCTGGAGCACGAGGAGGCCATGAACGCGGCCTACTCGGGCTACGTCTACACGCACCGGCTCTTCCACCGCGGCGAGGACGAGCCCTACGCCGAGCCCTACGCCGACTACGGGGCCCTGCAGGAGCACGTGTACGAGGAGATCGGGGACGCGCCCGAGCTGGACGCGCGCGACGGCCTGCGGCTGTACGAGCAGGAGCGCGACGAGGCGGCCGCGTACCGCCAGGAGGCCCTGGGCGCGCGGCTGCACCACTACGACGAGCGCTCGGACGGCGAGTCCGACAGCCCCGAGAAGGAGGCGGAGTTCGCGCCCTACCCGCGCATGGACAGCTACGAGCAGGAGGAGGACATCGACCAGATCGTGGCCGAGGTCAAGCAGAGCATGAGCTCGCAGAGCCTGGACAAGGCGGCCGAGGACATGCCCGAGGCGGAGCAGGACCTGGAGCGCGCTCCCACCCCGGGCGGGGGTCGCCCCGACAGCCCCGGGCTGCAGGCCCCCGCGGGGCAGCAGCGGGCGGTGGGCCCCGTGGGCGGCGGCGAGGCGGGGCAGCGGTACAGCAAGGAGAAGAGGGATGCCATCTCGCTGGCCATCAAGGACATCAAGGAGGCCATCGAGGAGGTGAAAACCAGGACCATCCGTTCGCCTTACACCCCCGACGAGCCCAAAGAGCCCATCTGGGTCATGCGCCAGGACATTAGCCCCACCAGGGACTGTGACGACCAGAGGCCGATGGACGGAGACGTAAGTCTGTGCGGGTTCGCGCTTGCTCAGCTCCACGCGCGGCCGGGCGGGGAGACGGCGCTCTGTGGCCTAGTGTGGCATTGGGAAATGACTTTATGGGTTAAATGGTCTGTGGGGGCACTAAGAGCCTTTCCACCCACCGTAAGCCTCAGAAACAGCCCGCTCCCGTGAGTGAAACACCAGCGGGAGGGAGTGTTGAATGCGCTCATCAGACCCTTAGCAGGACGCTGTAAATCAGTGTCTTCCCACCCTGTGTCCGGGGCCTTGCTGAGGAACGGATTCCTGGCACACCGTCCCCTACCCCTCGGTTTCTGATTCAGAAGGTCTAGGATAAAGCCCGAAAATTGATATTTCTAATGTTAATAAGAATCAAGTCTGGGTTGAATAAGGAGAGACTTTATTGGAAAGGATTTATTATTGCAAAGGGGAGAAAGTTACTGTTCCATTAGCGGGAGGGCTGTTGTATTGCCATAAGAGAACCTCTGACCCTAAGATCTGCAAGTGCCTGTAGGGTTAGGTTTTTATATATATTTTTATATATATATAGGAAGGAGTAGCCAAGGCTAGAAAAAGCAGGGTGTGAGAAAGTGGGATGAAAAGGATGTGAGTTGAACGCATTAAGACTTTAATCCTAGCAGTGGTTGTATGCTGACCAGAGTTCATGCACCTGTGGGATGGAGAGAAGCTTAACCAAAGGTAGGTTAACAGGCAGTTCAGCTAATCATGGGACAAAGAATGGGGATTTAGAGGGTCTGTGTCTGGCTTTGTCACAGGTAAACAAGGGGGCATCTTTGAGTCTTATCTAAGTAATGTGGGCAAGGGGCTTCCTTGCTGTAAGCTGTTTCCCAGGACACAAAAGGGTGAGGGGACTTCTTAACCTTCCCTGTGTTTCCGGTTTGCAGGGCTCAGGTAAAGTTCAACATTGTCACTAACAAGTTCCCAAGTGATGCTGCTGGTCCCAGGACCACAATTAGAGAACCACTGCCTTAAAGCCGTCTCTTAAAGATGTAGGATAGGCGATTTAGGATTTCTCTTTGGGAAATGAAATCCTTCTGAGCCCTTTCCTGCCAGGGGTTTCTGCAATTTTTTTTCACCCACCCTGTGCCTCATTGTGACTTTCATAGGTGCTTAATTTTCACTTCTGGTCATACTAGGGCATCCTTCCCACTTTACAAAAGACATGTTTTCAGCTTTAAACCAAATTGTGTTTCATTGTGAAGAGTAACACAAAGCTATTGATGCCACTGTTGACATTTTATTTTCCATTTTTGAAATACCTAAGACATCTGATAACATAGCCAGCCTAGGTGTCACAATCTCTTCAAAATAAATCAAGAAGACTAACCTTTGCTCCTGCTACCTTGCTATAAAGATTCTCTTTCTGCTCCGACTCTCACTTTTCCATTCTCTTGAATAATGTTTAAGCAATTTCACTTAAAAATGGATCTTAGAGTCAGAGAGGGTCAAGAGGTTAAAGTCAATTTCATTTAATTCTGCATTTTATGATTGCACCAGGCTGTTTCCAAAAACATATCTTTTGGAGTGAGAAACTGTTATTGTAAGCTATTTGTTCATGTTCATTATACATAAAGGGCTATGCAGGTCAGAGTGTTATTAGCATTAACCTCCTCTTTTAGTAATAGTCAACATTTGCTGTCAGCTGATTAAACTGCTGTCACCTTTAAAGAAAGGTTGGAAACCAGTAGGCCAGGGAAGTGCATCCTCCCCAGCAAGGGGGCAGCATTGGGTTTGTTAGTTAGATTTGCCCTGTAGCTCTCCGCTGTTTCCTAGGCTTCTGATTCAGTGAAAAACAGGTGCACTCACATGCAGAATTCTCTCCTTGACTTCCAGCTGTCTCCAAGTTCTTCCTAGCTAGGAGGGACTGCAGCGTTTTGCAAATGAAGTGGAAATGAAGCAGGTTTTCAAAAGTAGGGAGCTTGGCAAGAGGCCGGTTTCTACATCCTTTTAGAAACTTGGAAAGCCATCAGAGAAAAACCTATAGGAGCAATTCTTCGTTCAGCTTTCTCAGGTGTATCAGCTCCTTGAAATGACCTGCTTAACCACCTTGCAGCCTCCCGATGAGCCCGTAGCACAGCCATGGTAGGGCCAGGAGCTGGCTTTTATTCATTGAACTGGGAGAACAACTTAATCTCTTGCATGATGTTTCATTCCCAAGGTAGAATTAATTATAGAACACTGAAGGATACTTTAGGAACCCACACTGTCAGAAATCCAGCTTGATGCTAAGAAATCAGCAGGTAGGGTTTACTGGGTTATGAATAGTTAATTCAAAGCAAAACCAAAAACCTGTGCTTTAAAATACTCCACCAGTCATTTTTAAGCCATTTGAATTTGTGGGTTGTATTTCATCTGTCATGCCATATTTATAGGAAAGACCTTCATTTGCTATCCCTTTGCTTTGATGATATCACGGGAGGGGAGGGATATATATATATATATGTTCTGTTGATTTCCACCTCAGCATCAAAACATATTTTTTGATCACTCATTTTCCACGTATGTTGTTACAAAAAGGGAAAGGCGCTATTAAAAGCAGTGTGGTCTGAAATTATCTGGGAGGTACTTATTAAAGATACAACTTACTGCCCTTCCTTTCCAAACCAGAATACCTGATATGGGGCCCAGTGATCTGTCTTTTTGTTACATTTTGTAAATTCTCCCTGAGATTTTTAAGCACATGAAAGGTTGAGAACAACTGATTTAAAGGGGAAAAAAATGTATTATCTGGGCAATTTCCCCATGTAAAGGCTGTGGATTTCAGACTTAACTAAATCTTTTATTAGCATAAATACAGTTTTAACAAAAGGATTTGTCCCACTGTGATTATCGTCAGCAGGCCTGCAGAAGTGGCTCTGGAATTCTTATTATAAAAGCAGTACATTCTCAAAATGGCAAGATCAGAAACTACAGAGAAGCGAGTAAGGAAATAAAAGACACCTGTATTACCACTCACCAGAGATCATTGCTAATATCTAAGTCTGCTTTTAACACTACTTTTAATTCTGCCAGAACTTCTGCACCTTACACTTGGAGCAAACTGGCATTTCGTTGCAGGTGAGTTGTATAGAATGAAAAAAATAGGATTGTTCATCCATAAGAACGTACCAAACACAGACACTCAGCACTGAGAGAAAATAATTGTTTTCTAAAAATTTCTAGGACAAATTAGGATGGGTAAGGATTTTTAAAAAGAACAAAATAATAAAATAAAAATTTCTAGAAATTTGAAGACATAACTTATGTGTTTTGCCTTCTACTAAGGAGCTTCCCTTTTCCAGCTATATGTTTGATAACTGTCTCCCAATCCCCCTCTTGAAATGTATTGATAATGACTGACCAGTTCTGAAAAGTCACAGCCTACTGATCTCTTCAGGCAGCAGACTCATTCTGAGTAGACATCAAAATCAAAATTACAGTAGACTCAGAGATTGATATTAGCAAGCACACAGTTGGTGACTGGGGGGTTTTGGCCACTTTGAGTTGTGTGTTGTGCAGCTTGAAATGGCGTTTATCTCTCCTCCCTCCTAAAACTCCAATAAAGTGACACTAAAATAATGCACAAAGACTGAGAGAGGAAATAGCAGCAGATGAGCACAACAAAATTCTGGAATGCCAAAGTGCTGACTGGCTGTGGTAGAGGTATTTTCAGTTGCTCCCAGTGCTCCCAGTATTTCCCAGTGCTCCAGTTTTTCCAGTGCTCCCAGTATTTCCAGTTCTCCTCTGTCTTCAAACACAGGAAGGATTGCACTTCCTCATCCCCTAGAAGTTAGGTGTGGCCAGTGAAATGTGAGCTCTGAAGTGTGTTGCTTCTAAGTGGGAGTAGCTAAGACCACACTTTCTTCCCCTATAGAAACAAACCCCTCATGTTAAGATGGCAGCATCACAAGATGGCAGCACCTCTGTCAGCACAGGTGCACCTCTGTCAGCACAAGTGCAAGACCTGTGCGGGACTTGCGCTGCGAGAGAAGAATCAACCTTCACTGTTTCAGGCCGTAGGGATTTGGGGATGGTTTTGTTACAGCATAGCCTGGTCAATCCTGACTAATACATTGATGAGGTTTCTGTTTTGTCTCTTCTACCAAGTGTTTGTGGGGATTTGTGCCATAGACCACCCCCCAGAAAGGCTTGGGAATTTGAGACACCAGCTAGCTCAGGTGGCAGGAATATGGGGGTATGGTTGAAGAAATAAGAGGATTATTTGAAGGGCTGTCATAGGAGACATGAGACTTCCCAATGCCTTGTCCAGCCTGTGCAGGCAGGTGACTCCTCCTCCCCGAAGAAGATGGGAGGCTTCTATAAGGAAAGAGTGAACCAGAGAAGCACTGAAGTGAACCAGGGCCTCTAGCTGCAGTGAGAAATGGGAACATAGGGACTAGGAAGCAATGAGATCCCAAGGATGCCTTAGAATTCTTAGTTGTCAAGCTTAGAACTCAACCCACCAGGACCCCAGTCCCCAGCAGGTTAGAGATTCCTCTCTGAGGAGGCAGGCCCAAAAGAAAATAACTACAGATATTGATGTTTGGGGGTTTCCCAGCACAACACCTGGGTCCTCACCTGATCACCCCATAGTAAAGGCTTCTGCCACTCATGATCTCCCAGTAGGCTTTTTGGGGACCCACTCTTAAAATATGAATGAACAGCAAGGAGCACCAGACATTTGAAGAATATGTCTAACATGAGAGACAAAGACATAAAGCAAATGCAAAAAGACACCTGGAGAAATAAAGGTAGTGCTCAAAGCAGGAAACTATAAAACACTTATAATCAATATCCTCAAAAAGTAGGAGCAAATAAGGGAGCAGTTAAATTAGAATAGGATGCCATTTGGACAAAAAGAACATTTTAAAACAAAGGAACTCTTAAACTAAATAATATGGCAGCAGAAATCAAAAAGAGAAAGAAAAAAAAACTGCAGCAGAAAGGTTAGAAGACAAAGTTGAAACATTCACGGCAATAGAACAATTACCGCAAAAGAATGG